CCCTACTTCTTCGAGCCACAGGCGCCACCCAGCAACCTCAAACTCTTAGGCTTAAGCAGTTCTCTTGCCTCAGCCTCCCAAGTAGCTGGGACTACTGTAGCCTGCCACAACGCCCAGCTATTTTTTTTTTTTTGGTTGTAGTTGTCATTGTTGTTTGGCGGACCTGGGCTGGATTTGAACCCACAGCTCTGGTTTATGTGGCTGGTGCCTTAACTGACTTTTTTTTTTTTGAGACAAGAGTCTTGTTGCCTTTGGTAGAGTGCTGTGGCATCACAACTCAAACTCTTGGGCTAAATGAGCCTCTTGCTTCTTCCTCCCAAGTAGCTGCGACTACAGGTGCCTGCCACAACGCCCGGGGTCTTGCTCTTGCTCTTGCTCAGACTGGTCTTGAACTCCTGAGCTCAAGCAGTATACCTGTCTTGGCCTCCCAGAGTGCTGGGATTACTGGCATGCACCATCACACCTGGCCTGGGGTTGCTGTTTTAAATGGGATAATCTAGGTAGGCCTGCTAGAGAATGTGACATCTGAGCAGCAGAGTTGAGTAAGACAAGAGAGATGTTTGCGTTGCTAGCTCTCTGGATAAGGAATGTTCCAGGCAAAGTGAGCAGCCAGCACAAAAGCCAGGATTTAAGGAAGAAGAGCCCTTAGGTTTGAGGAACACAATGTTTTTGACAGGCGAGGTCACCTCAGGTGTTAACACTGGTATTCTTTTGTGTCATCATCTTGCAACAGGGGCCATGGAACATATATGGGGGAAGAGAAACTCATTGCATCTGTGGCTGGCTCTGTGGAGAGAGTAAACAAGTTGATCTGTGTGAAAGCTTTGAAAACAAGGTGAGAAAAAAGGTGTGTATTCTCTTTGTTGTAGCCTCCATGCTATACAACCAGATCTTTTCTGCCTCCTTTCACCTCACAGCCCACTTTTGCCTTCCCTATTATGCTGTAGGACTGCAGTTTTGAACATGACTTTAGGAAAGGTGTTATAGATTAGTGTGGGCTTCAAAAGTTTTCCCATGTTGGCTTGGTGCCCTTAGCACAGTGGCTATGGTGCCAGCCGCATACACCAAGGCAGGCGGGTTCGAACCCAACCTGGGCCTGGTAACAACAATGACAACTACAACAAAAAAATAGCTGGGCATTGTGGTGGGTGCCTGTAGTCCCACCTACTTGGGAGGCTGAGGCAAGAAAATTGCTTAAGCCCAAGAGTTTGAGGTTGCTGTGAGCCGTGATGCCACAGCACTCTACTGAGGGCGACATAATGAAACTGTTATCTCAAAAAAAGAAAGAAAAAAAAGTTTCCCCATGTTACCAGACTTCTCCAAGCCTAGGGTACCTCTTCCGCAAAGTGAGAATAATAGCATGGCCTGCCTCGTAGGATTTTCATTAGAATTCAGTGAGATGGCACATGTAAAGTACTTAGTACAGGCCTGAACCCAGAAGTGTTCACAAAAGGTTAGTCCCAGAAAGGAAGCCAGTGGTGCTGAAAGAGAACGAGTGAGAGCAGAGTAGGAACTGACAGAGCTGAGCTAGGTGGACAGTTGGTCTGCCTTGTAGCCATGATAAGCATTTTGGATTCTACTTTGTGTAATCCAGGGAGCCACTGGAAAGGGTGGAGCAGAGAAGGTACATGATCTGACTTAGGTTTTAGTAAAACTGCGGTAGTTGCTATGGGGAGATTGAAAGGGGACCAGGCACAGGCTTAGACCAGTGACTGTATATTCATTATCTGACATGATGGTAGCTTGAATTAAGGTGGTAGCAGTGGAAATGGAATGGAGTGATTAGATTCTGCATAGATTTTTGTTTTCTGAGTGTTTTTATCATGAAAGGATGTTGGATTTTTTTTTTTTTTGAGACGGAGTCTCACTATGTCACCCTTGGTAGAGTGATGTGGCATCACAGCTCACAGCAACCTTAAACTCTCAGGCTTAAGTGGTTCTCTTGCCTCAACCTCCCAAGTAGCTGGGACTATAGGCGCCTGCCACAACGCCTGGCTATTTTATTGTTGCAGTTGTCATTGTTTGGGAGGCTCAGGCCGGATTCGAACCCACCAGCCCCCGTGTATGTGGCTGGTGCACTAACCACTGAGCTACAGGTGCCAAGCCACTTTGGACTTTTCTATATATAAGACCCTGTCATCTGTGAATAGAAATAGTTTTACTTCTTTCTTTTAATTAGGATGCCTTTTATTTCCTGCATAGATTTTAAGGGTAGAGTCAGCAGGATTTGCTGCTTGTCAGACTTGTCCTGGAGCGTTAGAGAGAGAATGAGAGAGAAAGAGGTATCAAGGGTGTCTCCAGTGAGAGGGATGGAGTCACCATTTACTGAGGGGATGAGTTATCTCCTATCTCAGTTTGCTGTGGAGGAGGGGAGGGAGCTATTAGAAAGCTTAGTTTTAGGCTTGTTATATTTGAAAATGCTTATTAGTTATCTGAGTAGTTATGCTGTGTAGCTAGCAACTGAATCTGGAATTCAGGGGACTAGTGCAGTCGTCAGTGGTGTTTTAAAGCCATGAGATTGGACAAGGTCACCAAGAGGTGAGTGTGGGCAGAAAAATGAAGAGGTCTAAGTAATGAGCCTCAGTGTGGAATGCTTCATCTCTAGAATCAGGGATGAGGAAGTCATAGGGGGCTTGAAACAGGCAGACAGTGGGTGGCATCTTGTCTCAGAATTTCCTTTCTCTTTTGGCTGGTGCAGAACTCATCCATGTCACACAGGAAAATATTCCTTGCTTTTCATTGTCATGTAATAAAAAAATATATAGGGATTTGGGGCAAAACAAACTATTTGCAGTAGTGATTTTTTTAAGGATAGTTAATGGAGACTTTTACATGGAAGAATGTTTGAGATTAACAATTTTTGAAAACAAGTCCAAGCAGTATAGTTATATGAATTTGCTAAATGTGGTGCCTACTCAAAGCCGTTATCCTGTTTAACAGAAATCTCAAATGGTGCTTGGTTCTGTAAGAAAGTCTGTTCACTTATGGATGACCTTTTGTTTTATCTTCCAGATATAATGGTGAAGTGGGAGACATTGTAGTGGGGAGAATCACAGAGGTAAAGTCAATATCAGTGGTGTTTACAAAGTTTACAAGCTGGTGATTTACTGACTAATCATTCTATGTGTAGTTACATGAAAGGGGATTCATTGCACTTGACTATTGTGTGGCCCCTGATGTAAATATTTGGCTTGTTATCTTTGAGATTACTAGTTTCTTAAGATGTGAGCTCTTTCCCTTGGCGCACGGATCCAGGTGGGGAACTTCTTTGGTTTATAGGTTCAACAAAAGAGGTGGAAGGTAGAGACCAACTCCAGGCTGGATTCAGTGTTGCTGCTTTCGTCCATGAACCTCCCTGGAGGAGAACTGGTAAGGCAGCAGTTCCCAACCTGTGGGTTACGGCCCCTTTGGGGGTCAAACTACCCTTTCACAGGGGTCACCTAAATACATCCTGCATATCAGATATTTACATTACGATTCATAACAGCAGCAAAATTACAGTTATGAAGTAGCAATGAAAATAATTTTATGGTTGGGGGTCACCACAACATGAGGAACTGTATTAAAGGGTCGCAGCATTAGGAAGGTTGAGAACTACTGTGGTAAAGGCTCCAACAGGGCCCTGGAGCAGGGCCAGTTGGCTAGTTGGCTAGTGGGAGCTATGGGCCCTTCTCCACCAGAGAACTTTCCTTTACACTGAGGTTACCTCTTTTACCCCTTTTCGTCTGCTGTGACATTTGCCATCTGGATGTTTATGTAGACTTTTCACCTGGCCTAGATCCCCAGATAGGCAGCAATTGGCTTATGGTAAGATCAGAGACAACCTTGGGATGGGATCCCAAAAGAGCGTTGAGCAGAGAAACTCTTGGTTGTTTTTTTTTGGTTTGTTTGTTTGTTTGTTTTTGAGACAGAAGCCTCCAGCTGTCCCCCTGGGTAGAGTGCCGTGGCATCATAGCTCACAGGAGCCTCCAACTCCTGGGCTCAAGCGAGTCTCCTACCTCAGCCTTCCAAGTAGCTGGGATCACAGACGCCTGGCTATTTTTTGGTTGCAGCTGTCATTGTTGTGTGGCGGGTCCAGGCTGGATTTTAACCCACCACCTTGGGTGTATGTGGCTGGCTCCTTAGCCACTTGAGCCACAGGCACCCAGCCCAGAGAAACTCCTAATGCTTGATGCTAATAATCTTCCTTATCTGGATGTCTCAGCTTTGCACAGTGAAGATGTTGTCTGTATATTATTCATGACTTGAAAGGCATCTGGTTATTTCAGATATAAATAAGCTACAACCTTTTGTAAAATACCATGGTTCACCTTTATCTTCAGTCCGGTATACCTTTCTAGATAGGCTTGTTGGATGCTGGGTGCTGTGGAGAATGCCAAGCATGAGTATTTGAGATAACATCCAAAACCTGGTAGTACAAGAATAAACAAACGTGGTTGTGCAAAAGGAATGACTGATTTCACTGAGAGGAGTTCATAGAAAAATCTGGCATTGGAATTCATCCTTGAAGAATGGAGAGAATTTGAATGATGAAGTGAGGGAATTTGAGAGATAGGGAATTGTGTGATCAAAGATAGCCACGCAGGAGATAGTCTGGTCCTGCCAGAACACACAGCTTTCAGGAAAGGTGAGTGTGGAAAAGGTGACTGGGGGAGATTGGGAGAGTTTGAAATTTACTCAGAGGAGGGTGAAAGGGAGCCAGATGGAGAGATTGGCATGGTCTACTTAGTCTTCCCATAGTTCTTAGTGCTTGAATATTGTGGTTTGCTTCAAAGATCTCTAAAGGGAATGAAGTAATAGAGATCTTTCTGAGGCTCAGACTTAAGTAATGTGGTCATTTGTATATTTCAGAGGAGAAGATCTGCAGAAGATGAGCTTGCAATGAGAGGCTTCTTACAGGAAGGGGACCTTATCAGTGTATCCTGCACTTTGCATTCCAGCCCTTGATGCTTTTCAGTGGGGCCGGGAAATAAGCCTTACATAGTATATCTCTTCCAGGCAGGGATCAGATTCTCAGATCAAGTGTCAAGGGCTTTGCTAAAGCCTTTCTCTGTCTCTGTAACTTGGGCTGACTCTCCAGCACTTGTTCAGACTGGCTAAGTCCTTTCTTTGGGTTTGGTAACTTACAGTGACCTGTGCTTTAGGCTAGACTCAGGTTCACTTAACTGTATTAAAGGGCCGGGGCATTAGGAAGGTTGAGAACCACTGCCCTAGGGAGTAGAAAAGGTGTTTGTTGTTTATGACAACCACGGAGAGAGGTGAGGTCACAGTGGTGTGCTTGAGTCTGTCTAGATGTCTAAGGTCATTGATCTGGACTGCTGCAGATGGGAGGAAGAGACAGAGGCATGAGGTTGGGGTTGGGACATAGCAACATGGGAGTGGGTGGCTGAGCTGCTGTTTGTGCCTTCACCACCCTGGCCAGGCTGAGGTCCAGGCAGTTTTCTCTGATGGAGCCGTCTCTCTGCACACGAGGAGCCTGAAATATGGAAAAGTAAGTCAGCTATTGGTGTTCTTGTTTGCTAACTGAGACATCAAGTCTACTTCTAAATCCCCATAGTTCTCTGGAATTCTGACCTAGAGAACCCACTAGTTAAGTGCTAATAATGGTTGGCATCACACAAACTAATCATGTTCCCTGAACTTAACAGACAGAAGATTGGGATTCACAAGTCATGGGTTAGTAGCATCGCAAAGGACATTAACTTTTTTTTTTTTTTGAGATAGTTTCACTATATTGCCCTCAGTAGAGTGCTATGGTGTCACAGCTCATAGCAACCTCCAACTCCTGGACTTAAGCGATTCTCTTGCCTCAGCCTCCCAAGTAGCTGGGACTATAGGAATCCTCCAGAATGCCTGGGTATTTTTTCTTTGTAGTTGTCATTGTTGTTTGGCAGGCCCGGGCTGGATTCGAACCTGCCATCTCCAATCAGGTGTATGTGCCTGGGGCCTTAGCCGCTTGAGCTACAGGCGCTGAGCCAATGCCCAGTTATTTTTTGGTTGTAGTTGTCATTGTTTGGCAGGCCCAGACTGGATTCTAACCTGCCATCTCTGATGTATGTGGCTGGCACCCTAGCCACTGAGACACAGGTATGGAGCCAAAGCCATCAGCTTTTATCCTTTTGTCTTGAGGAGACTGCTGGCAGAAGAGCTGATTTGACCCTGGGCTCTGAGGTGCTGCTGTCTCTGTCCCCTCCAGGGGGCACTGCTGGAGACGTGACCCAGAGGCTGAACTTGGAACAAAGAGGCCCAGGGCTGTCAAATGTCCACTCAATAAAATGGGTGTTACTGCTTGCAAAGATAGTTTTGTCCTCTGAGCTTCTAAATGAAATTTCACTGCTTTTCTTTTATAAGGTTACTTTATTGAGGCTTTTTTTGAGATAGAATCTCACTTTGTTGCCCTTAGTAGAGTGCTGTAATATAATAGGTCACAGCAACCTCAAACTCTTGGGCTCACGTGATCCTCTTGCCTCAGTTTTTCATTTTTAGTAGAGATGTGGTCTCAGTCTTGCTCAGGCTGGTCTCAACTCCTGAGGTCAAGCAATCCATCCTCCTCAGCTTCCCAGAGTGCTAGGATTACAGATGTGAGCCACTGTGCCTGGTCTGAGGAGTTTTTTTAAGGACAGCATACTTTATAAAACAAATTAGGAGGCACTAGTCTCTGCTTTACCAGCAAGAATGTTTTCATTTTCTGAGCAGAACAAAAATCACTTCCTTTGATGGAGAGGCTGTAGGCAACCAGGTTCATGTGCTTACAGTAGATGGATGCTGTGTCGTGTGCTGACCTTCACAGACCTCCCTCAGCAGGATATGGACTTGGAGCTGGCCTGTCTCTTTACCTACTCAGAGGCACACATCTCACGGGCAGCAGAGGTGTCTGATGTTTGGGTGTGAGTAGGGGGATGAGATAGGACATTGGGCCTCAGTCAACAGGAGACTCGAGCTCTCTTCCTCATTGGCTCCAGCATCTCAGCCTGTACCCCAACCCTGGATTAGAATGTAGGAGCAAATGCCAAGGGCAATGACAGAAGAGTACTGAAAGTTGTCTTTCGTTGGGATGTATAAACACCTTGTGAATCCAGACGTGTTCCTTGTAAAAACGCATACTACGTATATGCACGTAGGGTGACATGGGTGTGCAATCAGTGACAGGAAGGACACTGATTTGAATATAACTAGGATAAATTCTGTAGTCTACTTTTCATTCATCTCACTGATGACCTTTAGTGACCTAGTGTATTTCTTTAGCTAGGTCAGGGTGTTTTGGTCCAGGTTTCCCCCTCCCTGGTGAAACGGCAGAAGACCCACTTCCATGACTTGCCATGTGGTGCGTCAGTGATTCTGGGTAACAATGGCTTTATATGGATCTACCCCACACCTGAACACAAAGAAGAGGATGCAGGGGGCTTCATTGCAAACCTGGAGGTGAGTACACACCATTGTCACTGTTGTTTGGATGGGGAGTAGCACTCTGTCTCCACTGTGTTTTTGTGTCAGGTGGTGTTCATTTTTTTTTTTTTAGACAGAATCTCAAGCTGTTACCTTGGGTAGAGTGCTGTGGCGTCATAGCTCACAGCAGCCTCAAACTCTTGGGCTTAAGTGATTCTCTTGCCTCAGCCTTTCAAGTAGCTAGGACTACAGGCACCTGCCATATTTTTTTTATTGTTGTTGTTGCAGTTGTCATTGCCATTTTAGCTGGCCCCGGGCCAGGTTCAAGGCTTCCATCCTCAGCGTATGTGGCCAGTATCCTACCCACTCAGCTACTGGCGCAGCCAGGTGTTCATTGTTTTGCAGCTGTAGTATTGCTGTAGTCTGAGTGGTCATGAACATTGTATTGCCTTCTCTTTGCTAAAGAGATGAACTTCTTGACTGGTTTGAGTTTTGTTAGCAGAGACAGAGTTGCAGGGTGATATCCAGAGAGCCACTGAAACAGCCTCCTTTTTATCTCCCTTGGAGTTAGCTGTTTGACTGGTTTGGCATCCCAGAGTGATATTGTCTGAGTCATAAATGATTTCTTTTTGGTGATTTACTATAACTATTGACCTATTTTAGTCCTATTTATATATATCTTCCCTTCCCCTTTGGTCCCCCTCCTAGCCTGTCGCCCTTGCTGATCGAGAGGTGATATCCCGGCTTCGGAACTGCATCATCTCTCTGGTAACTCAGAGGATGATGCTGTATGACACCAGTATCCTGTATTGCTATGAAGCATCCCTTCCACACCAGGTACTCTCCCCGGGGCTTCCCTTTCCCCACTGATCTATGAGCTGCACCAGGCTTTCCTCTCAGATTGCAGGCAGGTCTCCTGCAGATTTGTATTATCATGCCCATCAGTATGAGCTAGTGTGGAAGACAGCTTGTCAGTGTCTGGTGGATCTTTTCCCAACAGTATTCTCAATGTGTAGTGTCAATAAGGGTTTGGTGAAGGATGGAAGTGCCAGCTAGTTCATGATGCAGTCCTTTGGACTTCATCTTGCCCATCCCAAATTCCAGCTGTCTTTTTGACGAATGTCAGGAGGATCTATTTGCTCTTGTTAGGTGTATCCCAATCTTTCTGATTAAGCTGGTTCTAGCAGATACTACCTTGCAGCACTTAGCCTCTGACACATGAGTAGTACAGAAGGCTTACATTAACCACACTTGGTTTCTGTGTTTAGGTTGGTTTTGTGATTGGCTTATAGTTGGTTTCTTTTCTGAGCATGTTTCTTTCCTTTTTTTTTTCAGATCAAAGACATCCTAAAGCCAGAAATAATGGAAGAAATTGTGATGGAAACACGCCAGAGACTTTTAGAGCAGGAGGGATAAGGAGATACTCCTGGATAGGACTGGGCATACCTTACTGGGATAAAGAATCCAATGTGTAGTACCCATGTGTGCTCAGTGAAGGCCTGAGATGTCATCAGTTCATCTCATCAACAGCTGTGTGGCTGCTGCCAGGCCACAGACCTGCTTTCTCTTGTTCTAGAACAAAGCCCATGTAGATGGTGAAAGTGCCTACAGCTTGCCTGCTGAGCCCAGCACAAGGGGGGAGTTTTGGGTCTTTCACAGTGCACAGTGTTCCAGCCAAATGGACTCCCATCCTAGAATAATAGGGAGATTCCTTTGTCTTCTACTCATCATTCACAAGGCATAGTACCCTATGAAATTGCCCCAGTAGAAAATATGGCATCCTTGACCTATAAATGGTCTGTTTTGGCCTCCATTCCCACCTCATTCTGAGCATAAGTATGACAATGAAGAATATAGTTGGTATAGTTAGCCCAGCAGTCACATGGAAGGATAAAGCTAACCAAACAGCCTTCTGCTTGGTTGGAGTCCAATTTCTCATTTCATATTCCATTTAGCAACTGCTGTATGTCTATACCAGGTGGCCTTTGTCCTGCCTTGAAGGGTGACTTGTAAGAAGCTGAATTATCAATAATAGAATGGATGTTCTGGGTCCATGTAATTTTGGGTGCTCTGATAAACAGAAGAAAACAGTGAAAAAAACGGAGATGGGAAAAGCAAAGCTCTTTTCCTCCTAGAACTGAAATGGTTATGCATTAGCTATTGAATAATTCATGATTAAAAGATAAAAAGGACACTGAAGCTCCCACTGAGGAATTCCTGTGCATTGCATTGTCTACAAGTGGTGCATTGATTCAGGTTTTGGGAAACATTCTTTTCTAAGGGCACTATGTGTTAAGTGCCATTTTATTTCATATATGCGGTGAACTAGTTTTTGTGCCCTCTTGTGTGCCACTGAAAATAAATAAATAAAATAAAATAAAAGTGATTCAGTTCAGGTGACCCTCTTGCCTCAGCCTCCCTGGTAGCTGGGACTACAGGTGTCCTCCACAATGCCTGGTTTGTTTTTCTGTTTTTAGTAGAGTTGGGGGTCTTATATTCTTGCTTCAGCTGGTCTTGAACTCCTGAGTTCTACTGATCCACTCACCTTTGCCTCCCAGAGTGCTAGGCTTATAGGCATGAGCTACCATGCTGGCTTAATT